CCCCCCCTCCGCGCTCCATTGACTTCGTTCGCCGAAGGACGCTTTATCTCCGGCCCACATACCGGCACCTCTTCTGCCACGCGACCTCCATTCAGTCCGGCGTAAATACAAAGGGCGCCGGCACCCCCGAGCTCGATCGCACTCCCGCGAGAGGGAAAGAGAGACCGGCTGAGAAAAATCCCTTTGACACTTTGACACCTGCCGCAAATCGATCTCACCGACTCCTGAATAATTACACACGGACGATATTAAAATTAGCATAACTGCAGCGACTGCAGAATTTTGTAAAATTGGAGATCCGTCCTATTTTTATTTTATTTAAAATCGTAATTTTAAAATATAATTCACTAAAAGAGGTAAAAATAAGTATCTCTCGTAGATAGTTGGTAGAAACAGAGAAAGAAGACAGAGAACAATGCGACGCGATTTGTTTTCTTTTTTCAAATGTCAAACTCTCTCGACAAACTTCGGATAAATATTGCGGGTCGAGAAATATCCGCGGGAAAATCAAGGTGGCGGAAATTACGGGCACTTCGCGAGGCAGTTGGTCAGGCACGGGAGCCGCAAGGCCGTATATTTTTAACCTGAGAACCTTCCGGCAACCCTGCCGCGGGATCAATACCTACAACCACCCCCGTCTCGCCGTTATGTACTACTGCTGGAAGTGGAGACCGCCGCTAACTTTAACCTACATTATCCGCCACCTCTGGCTGAGAGCCCACCGGTGGAAACTTGCCACCGAGTCAAGTACAGGAACAGGGCCGGGGAGGGGGTAAAAAAAAATGCGGGTACGCGATGCAGATGCGCCGAGTAAAGCCGCCCGCGAGAAACGAGCCGCCGCGCGGTGCCGCGAGTGCAACGAAATGTTTCTCGATAAGAAAGTTGGAAAACCCATTTCCGCTATCTTGCGCCGTCGAAATATCTCATTGCGATTCATGCACCGTTGCGCGTAAAACGCAAATTACCTCCATCCCTGTAACATTTATACTAAATGTGAGCCGTATTTCCCCATTAAATAATTATATTTGACTATCTCAAGCTAGTAAAATATTGAAAGTATCTTTTGGTATTTCATGCATGATAAGTACTATGCACTTAAGTAATTGGCTGTATCTAGTTTATCTTCAGGGAAAAAATTTCCAACGTTTGTTAAATTTCAAATTATTAAATTCTTCTGGAGATGAATAATAATCGCGAAATGTAGTAGTATATTACAATTATATGCTTTAAGAGAGCTTAAAATCCGCGTAAAAGGAAAGGGTGGAAGAAGTCGGTAAAAGCAAGTATCGCATCTCACAACCCTCGCATCTTTGAAGGGTCACCGGCCCGAAAGTCATGAAAACTTTTTTGCAATTTTCGTCTTTATTTCCCTCTTTCTTTCTCTTCCTCCCCATCTCAGGATCGAGCTCCATTTTCTCCCGCAACGTCGCCGTCGTGAAGGGTTGGAGGATAGAAGCCAAGAGAAGACGGGCAATCGAGTTCCGAGATTCTCGGCTCGTGGTCGCCGGATATATCCGGCGCTCGTGAAGGAGCCCTTGATAGACGCCCGAGAATCTCTATTTACGCGAAAAGAATGAAGAAAAAGAAAGAGCGAGAAAAGAGTAAGAGAGGCATCGAGGAAAGAAGAACACCTTTCGCTCTCGGTTGCCATTCAGAGAAAGAGCGACTTCCGCAATTGCGGCGGCGGCTCGCGAATGGCGGATAGTCGTCTGCGCAATCTCGTCGCTTTCTAAGAGCAATCCCTTTTATCACCTCTCATCCCGTTTCTTCTCCCTCGTTTGCGTCACAGGACTGTTTGTGAACGTGGGCATTTTTATACGACCGACGCCATATGACGCGCGCGTCTCTTTCGCGGCGTGCATAATTTACGCGATGGACGCTCGGCGACGCGCATAAACAGCGCGAATATAGAAGAACGTGACGGAACGTAAAAGAATAACGGAATTGCGAAAGCTTGATTCAGGATCGTCAACGGTGGGCGCAAATAAAGATAAAATGGACGTATAAAACTCGATGGGTCTATATTCTATAAATAACGTTGTGTATCTTGCAATCTCTGTCGGATCGTAAGAAAAAGAAAAAAACAAGTGCAGTTCAACGAAGCGGTTCGTGTAACGAATCAATTTTAGTGTCGACTTAAAATTAATTGCAATTAAATGTATGAGAATTCTTTGATTTTTATGTTCTTTAACTGGATCATCTTTCACATAGCGTAACATTAAATGCTTCACAAAATAAACACATTTCCCATTATTATCTAATTTCTCATTTATAATATAAATCTATAATACCCTCGCTGAATAAGCATATAATTCTAAATTTGTTAAATCCACACCCATGAGATGGATTGAGTTACGTACGATAATAAAGGAACTTAATGTTCCTCGTTAAATTATACGATTGGCTGCGTTCCTGCATTTAGATCCAGTAAAGAATTAAAGGCAAGTACCAATATTCAAGAGTCACTGAACGCTCATTCATTGATCAGTCTTCTTAGCTAAACGCTGCCAATGAGAGTAATTCTCGTAATCGGTCTTTTGTCGATAATCACGAAGTCTTCAGAGGCATTATCCTTTTGTGGACGTTTCTTGGTGTGAGGAAAATGGCGGTAAAGAACGACTCTCTGGCTCCCGGCTCTGTTTCGGTTCCCTGAGCGTGCGAGGTCGAGAAACAGCGGAGTGAGTAAGCGGAAGCCGCGTTCCATTTCAATGCGCGAGCCTCACTCGTGAAAGGAACCGATAACGCTTGTCGACCAAGAGCCAACCGAAGCGAGCCCTTTTCTAGGATAATCGAGCGAATTCCTACGACGCGATTTCGCACTTCTGTCTCTCACGGTATCCCGGATTCCCGCTACGAACACCTTCGCACTCGTCCTTTGCATACAACTCGAGAGGAGAGGGTGCGCTGTACGACCTATTGTCGATCTCTGATAATGCGTACGAACAGGCGCTGCTCCACGCGATAATATTCCCATTCGGCATTCGACAAACTTCGCCATTCATTTGCGAATCGGAGGGCCGTAATTAAGATTCGCAGTAGAGAATAGACATTTCGAAGTGCGTTTGCAATTGAATCGAAACGGTATGGAATTTGTCGACTATCACACACGTCGCTGCGATAGGTATTTCTACGAGTGTGCGGATATATAACTTATTAATTTTTATTTAAAAAGAAAACGTCGTAACTAAGTATAGAGGATTCTTAGAGAATTCTATATGTATACCAGTGTACTGCATTCAGAAATGTTCTCTGGGTGCATCTTTGTATCATTTTATCTTTTAATATTTGACGAACAATAAGAATAAAATGCACCCAAAAATTTCTGAACGCAGTCTTGAAGATATGTGACCAATATACGGTACATTTCTGTATACAATCTTTTTATTTGTGAATGTTACAGATCTCCGAACATTCACGACTTGTGACACGCACAAGACGGCAGTCCGCGCGCACTGAAAAATCGACCGTCGGGTCGTGGAGCGTCGGCAGTATCCGACAGTTTCGTTAGCCAGGAGTATATCATCATCCAGAATAATCCCTCGCCCGTGGCAAAACGGCCGATCGTGCGGACGTCCTCGGTACTATCCCGGCGCGGCCGTTACGTGCGACGACAACAGCCCAAAGATTTTCCCACCGAAGGCCAAGATGCACATCGAGGTGCAGGTGGCGCTTAACTTCGTGATATCATATCTCTACAATAAACTGCCGCGTAGACGAGTCAACATCTTTGGCGAGGAACTCGAGAAGGCGCTCAAGGACAAGTTCAAGGGCCACTGGTATCCGGAGAAGCCGTTCAAGGGCTCGGCGTTCAGATGCCTGAAGACCGGCGATCCGGTCGACCCGGTGCTAGAGCGCGCCGCGAAAGAGAGCGGTGTGCCGATCCAGGACATCCTGGAAAATCTGCCAGCCGAGCTCGCCGTCTGGGTTGATCCTGGTGAGGTGAGCTACCGTATCGGCGAGTTGAACGCCGTGAAGATCCTCTACTCAGAGACCGGCGACCCGCATGACGAGACCTCGGCCGATCGCGAGGTCACCAAGACCTTTAATCCGGAGGCGCAGTGCTTCAGGCCGATCGAAGCCGTGAGCACGTCCTTGAGCGGTCTCAGCCTCAGTCCAAAGTCAACCTCGCCGTTTTCGAGCTCCCTCGGCAGCAACGCTAGCAATGGCTCGTCCAATAACCAGCAGAACGGCCACGGATCTGGTTCCTCGTCTGCGCCCTCACCCACGCCCATCACCAGCTCCTTCAAGGGCTCGCCCAGCCCGGTACCGGCCTTTATCCCGCGTACCACCGCCCCGCTCACCTTTACTACCGCCACCTTCGCCCAAACCAAGTTCGGCAGCACCAAGCTCAAGACTAGCAGCAAACGCGCTAACAGGTTGGTACATACGTTTGATGTTTCCTCCCACTTTGGATTAGCCAAATAGCAATTCAATTTATAGCTTAAAACGTAAGAGGTTGAAACTTTATAATGATGATCGCTTATCTCAACTTTTTTGCTGTCATCATAGAAATAACGTTTATTTATTTGATAAAAGACGGATAGTTTTGATATGATAGTATGAATATAAATCACTTAATTTGCTTAATTACATGATGATTATTTATTTTTAAACTGATTATTAACGTGCTTCGACGTTACGCTTCTCGAGTTTCCTAAGTAGATAAAACAATCTATATATGTATATTTGTGGAATGCTGCTTTGCAATTTTCCCAGGTATACCTTTACGTATATTTATATCATCACTAGAAACTAACATTACTCACAGAGTTCCCGCGGTATAAAAAACAAATTGAACAGTGGGATCGCCATTAGATGTATAATTGATCGCTTCGCAACCAGACAATCGTAGAAATAGCTAAGCATGCTCGAAATTAGAGATTAACGCATAACAAAACGTGCGATCTATCGTAAAGGATTGCACATTGCCGATAGGATTTAATTATAGCGCGTTTATTCCGTTTACGAAATTGAAACACACACAAGCACGACAGAACAAAACGCGCGTACTAACCAGGCCGCGAGACGATCTACCACTCCCGGATTCACGCACACACGTGCATACACAAATCCATTGATGAACCGCACGGTACCGCTCGGTTTCAGGATGTCACCCACTGAGTTCTCGAACTATATAAAGCAGCGCGCAGCGATGCAGCAGCAGATTCACCATCACCACCATCATCAGCAGCATCAGTCGCAGCAGCAGCAGCAGCAGCAGCAACAGCAGCAGCAGCAGCAGCAGCAGCAACAGCAGCAACAGGCGACCACGGCTGGTGCAGGACTGCCGGTCTCGCAGAGCTCACCGCGCAGTCGTAGCCTATCACCCGGTAGCATAGTCGCCGGTGCTGGACAGCAACATACGGACCCGAGCGCGTACTTCTTCCAACATGGCCCAGCCGCGGCCGCGGCGGCGTACCACGCGCAGTTTCCCCATCGCAACATCTTCGACTCGTCGGCGAGCCACGGTGGCTACCTGCCGGCCGATCTCTACGCCGGCACCAAATTCCCATCATCGTACCTCGACCCGACCACCTTGGCTGGCCATCAGTTCTACGGCGGCGGTATGAATGGCACTGGCGCCGGTACTGGCGGCGCTGTAAACGGTACCACCGGCGCCGGAGCCGGTACCCAGGGCGCCGGTAGCGCCGGCACCGGTAATCTTGGTCCAATCGGCTCTGCGACAACCAACGGCAACGTCAACGCTGGCGCGGCCGCTGCGGCGCAGCAGCAGGACAAGAGCGCCCTGGTCGAGGGCCTCAACAACTTCGGCCTCGGCTCGGTCGCGCCCTATCCGGCCAGCCAATATCAGCATTTGCTCGTGGCCAACTAATACCTCGCGCGTGCACATCAAGTCGTTAAAAAAACCGCCACTGCGTCCCGTGACGGCGGTAAAAGCGTTTTTGTTTTCGGTGCCGTTGGTCCGGTGGCGGACAAAAAGGAGAGAGGGCCGTCGCCTCCGGGATTCCGTCGTCGAGACGTTGTCCAGAGTCTGGCTTTTTAAACACGGATGCCCATCAGTCAAGTTGGTACCACTCTATCTCTCCTCCCCTAATCAGAGTGCACTGGTTATGTGGTGTCATGATATCCATCTGTTCTCTCCCGCGATTCCTATCCAGACGCTTCTCCGAACGCTCTTTCGCGTTCGATCTTTCCTAATCCAAGAAAAGTATCCGAGATATTTTGTACATACATTATCAATAGCTATCGATGAACGGAGAAGAGATAGAGAGTAAACAGAGAAAGAGGGAGAGAGAGACAGCCGCCGTACGATCAGCACCGAGGGCGAAAGCGACCGAGATGAGGAAAGAAGGCGTGATAGAACGGAAATAAAGAAAAAGAGAGAAAGAAAGAGATGTGTATGCGTGTGGAGATGATGCCTGGTTCTGAGGTACGTCTGATTGCGAGATAACGTGTGCGTGCAGAAACGTTTTAGGCGCATGAAGGAGAGAAGAGAAAACGGAAGGAAGCGGCTAACGGCTAACGAGAGCGTGTATATGTGTTAAGACCCGATAAGGACTCGATTGGCGATGGCGCGAGACGCTCGTTCGAGACGGAAGCCATCGTGTGGCTACCTACGATACACGCATACATACACAACACACATAAAACACACGCTCAAAGGTATACGACATACATGTAGCACACCGGCGGACATTCGAACGACGCGTCGAGCGCGCATCTAGGACAGTAAAGATACACTCGACATATTATAGGAATAACACACACATACACACACACACACACAACACACAGATATACATATTATACCGATCTTCCCGTATATACATCTCGTATAACATACAATACACGGAACCCACGCGGGCACACGTAGATCATCATACACATAACATGCGAGCATCATCCATGCACGAGACACACGTACGTATTAACGAAACAAAAAAAAAGAAAAAGAGGAAAACCATATATACGCAACACTGACCCACACAGATATTACCAACGTGTAATAATTTATTTTTTCACTGGTATATAGTCGAAGAATTAATGAAATAATGAATATATATCTCTGTAGAGCCTATGTATTATATTCAAGATGCACTCACTCTTCACCGGGTTCTCACGAAACGGTAGGAACTACACACTGTCCCCTAACTTGTGTTGTCGAGCGAGCCGTCGGTGTCGAAAGATCCGTGGACTGATAAAAGATCGATAAGGTAAGGTGTCTTCCAATTTTGTTCCTCCATCGATTGAGCGTCGATACGAGACGATGCGACGCGCGGGTGTCACGTCGCTTCGTTTCGCGCAAGAATCGTAGTCGGATATTATATAGACAACGCGGAAAGCTATTCAGGCACTAAATACGTAAAATACGAAGCTGTTTAAACGAGCTGAAAAAAATCGGATCACGGATAGCTTTCTCTGCACGGAGGAGACCTTTACGTCAAATCGAAAAAAAAATAGAGAGCAAAATCGTAAATCTACGGAAGACGGCGGCCCGTTCATTCACACGAGATGAGTAAATAAAATGAGAAGGAACAACGCGATCAAGGAACGAAGGATCGATCCTTCCGCGAGTATAGTGATAATGTAGAGAAAAAGAGAAACGAGCTCGCAGTTTTATACCGTTCGGAAAACTCGTCCTCGGTACGATTTTACATTTTATTTTTATAATAAATGCAGTAGAATGTAGGAGAAAGAGAGAGCGAGAGAGAGAGAGAGAGAGAGAGAGAGAGAGAGAGAGAGAGAGAGA